GCTCTGGAGCACATAATCAGAAGTGCAAGAATCAAAAAACCGAATACAGTATTTCATCGAGAAGGACCAAACTTACTACTGGCATTTTCAGACGATATCGATCTAATAGGAAACACACGATTAATGATGAAGGAGACATTTGTGAGGTTCGAGAAGAAAGCAGAGAAGATGGGGCTCCAAATCAACGAAAACAAGACGAAATATATGTATATGAGCCGCAATAACCAAAGCAGAGACAGAATCGGTCAGAACATCATCATCGATGACTTTAACTTTGAGCGCGTTAGAGAATTCAAGTATCTTGGAACAACAATAATGGATCACAAGAAATAAACAACTGGATTCAGGCCGGCAACAGAAAACCTTATAAAATCGAAACAACTAACAAGACGTACGAAGATACAGGTCTATAAAACAATCATACGACCCGTTGTGATGTATGGAAGCGAAACGTGGACGATAAAAAAGGCAAACGAAGAGAGACTATGTGTTTAGGAAAGAAAAATCCTAAGGAAGATCTTTGGTCCTGTGCTGGATGAAGCATCAGGACAATATAGGATAAGAACTAACAAAGAGCTCGAAGAACTTAACCCAGACGCCAACATCATAAAAGAAATAAAGTCCAGAAGACTTCAATAGGCAGGACACCTCAGAAGACATTCTGATGAACGAACAGTAAGACTGGTGTGGGAGGAAGTCCCAACTGGAAGGAGACCACGAGGACGTCCTCGTCTCCGGTGGCGAGATAATATAGCAGGAAACCTAAGCACTATGAGCGTGGAGAATTGGATGGAGGTTACTCAAGACAGAAAACCATGGAGGCATGTTGTCGAGTCGGCTAAAACTCACGAAGGGCTAACGCCACGGAGTAAGTAAGTAATGTGTAGGTACTGGTGTCCACCTGATGGTCACTTTCTATGTTGCTACGGATGTATGTTATACAATCATATATATATATAATGATATGTTACATCAAGAATTTCACGTACTGGTACTTTACCCCTACGTTTTAGATCAGTTTTATCAGCTACATGAATTTTTTGAGTGATAGCCACAACATTGTTATTTTCTATTAGGATTTTAGATAGTACCTACCACACACTTTGATCTGCTTAGTTAGAGATAGAACTGACGGACTACTCATTTAGCATTAATTACCCAGGTTGCACGTGTAAAATTCCTTTACGGATGCAAGCTAGGTTACATCCCCCAAAGAACTAAAATTTATTATTATACAAAACACTACTGAGGCCGGTCCTCAAATATGAAACCTCTCTGTATCTGACACTCTTCCTATAGCCACGTTTCTTTTGCTTGTATTACTTTCTTTCGTTTATCGTTATAATGGACTATGCTATTTTTCTATCTACGATCATTTTTGTATTATCCGTGTAGTAAATGTGGCTTATATTTTGGCAACTTTCTAACTATTAATTATGCAATCCGTAATACACACAAATTTAAATTACAGCCGAACGTCGATCAATGGAACGACCTTATCTCGCTTATGCTTATCCAAACGCCCGTCTCCCGACAAAAAAGAGCATAAGATTCTTTATAAAGCAATATACTGTGGCATAAGTAGCTTTATGTCCCAGTTTGATTATTCTGACGGACCCACATGTCGTAAACCTAAGAGACTTGCCTAAGAAAACACGGATTTCGATAATATAAGTGGTTTACTTAACAAATATTGAAGGGAGAACCTATATATGACCTCTATCTGAAGCAGCTCAATTCAAAGAAAAACCCGGAGAGGTGTCAAATTTTCAAGCAAGCACAGGCTGCACAAGAATAAAAAGTGTGCTGATTCATCAGCAGGAGATTAATTATAAATTAAATTAATAGAGTTACTGAAGTAAGAAAATTACGCCCTCCAAAACGTTTACAATGCAGACGAAACTTCGTTCAATTGGAAAACTTTTCTACGAAAAACTCTTGTCTTGTGTCACCTCGTCAATTAGCAGCACCTGACCTAAAATAAGAAAGGATCGTATTAGCTTGTGCTAAAGCGACTGGTAGCCACTGATTACCCATATTTGTCATTAGGAAAAGCAAGAAACCACGTTGTTTTAAACACATGGATATGTCTGCGATGCCTATTGTTTACACTTCTCAGAAGAGTGCTTGGATGGATAGTACAATCTTAATGGATTGGTTTATAGAAACTTTTTTATTCTTCGTTAAAGCCCATCAATTAAAAATTGGCAAAAGTGAAAATTTATTATTACTTCATGATAACGCACAAACTCATCGATGTTGGAATGTCCCTAAAAAACGACGTGACCTTGCCGCTCGTAAAAGGTTAGACTTGCTTTGACAGATCGAAAATTAAAGAGGAAATAATCCAGGAAGCACTAGAAGAACTAACTATAGGAATAAAAGTAAATGGTCTATTATCTATGGTAAATGGCCCGACCAATCAATAATATACGGTTTGCCGACGACACTATATTTTATTAGCGGAATGTCTTGAGGACTTACAACAAATGGTTGACAAAGTGGTAGAAGTCAGTGAAGTAAACGGACTGTCCCTAAACACAAAAAAGGCACATTTTATGGTAATTACAAAAGCCCAACAGCTCAAAGAAAACATATTAAGAATAAGTTACGTGGATAGAATCACGAATGTCGAGGTGTTGAGAAGAATGGGAAAAGATAAAGAGGTTTAAATATAATTAAAGTCAGAAAACTGCAATATCTGGGACATGTCATGAGGGACGAGCGTTATAACTTGTTGCAATTAATAATGCAAGGAAGAATATAGGGTAGAAGAAGTCGTCTACTTTAAAATGTATAATGTATGCCTGATTTTTCAATATAAATGAGTCAGATAAAATTAAATTATTAGAAGAATTTTTCACCAAGTAAAAGAAAAACAAAATTTGTTTAATTTAGTAATATTTGTATTTTGATAAAGATTTTTGAAGTGGAAATTGAAACGTCAATAATTTTACTTTAACCTTTAATTGTGGCTTATTCCCATTTAAATAGTAAGTATCTAAACTTTGTTACCATATTGTAATATGAACTCAAACAGGGAAGTATGTCAGAAAATACAGCCATCTGTTTGCTTTTGACTATTGATTATCCTTCTTGAAGCACAGAAAGCCTTCGATCAAGTCTGATATGCTGGACCATTGAAGGAACTACCGAACATCGGCCCACCCATCCTTTTTGGCAATTTGATATCGCCCAGATAGGGTCATCAGGGTTAAGGTGAAAAATCACGATTCAACCCCATTTACTACTACTGCAAGAATACATCAAGGTTCCATTCTTGTACCAGCACTTCGCACAATTCGCAACAACGACCTCTTTAACCCTAGATGGACCAACACACTGACACTACTTTAGGTAGAGGGCACTGCTCTCGTAAAAACAACATAAAACACAGATGTTTTAGAACAGTACGCTGTTCTAAAACATCTGTACCTGTAAACATCTGTGTGGTTTGGTCCACAATACAGTGGACTAAAAATAACCCTGGAAAGGGCAAGTAAAAGAGTCAGGATATTGAATGCTCATGGAGTAAACACGTATGAAACCACCGTTTTGTATGTGTTAGTAAAACGTTAGCACACAACCTGCTTTGGTAAGAAGAATTTTACGTAAAGCAAAGTATTAACGTTATACCCGTCAGTGGATATATATCTACTATTGAATATCTCAAGCATGAGAGACTTTCGTTTCTGAGCAGATTCCTCTATGACACCCTAAAAACTATTCGCGCCCAACATGTCGCTCCCAAAACTCCCTGTTCATCTTTCATAAATGATCTCTGCCAACTACTCTAAAATCCTAGAGAAAACTTCATGTGTTTAGCGTAACTGGCTAAATAGCTGACTTCGACCTGGTCTCAAATCCAAGTGCACAATAATTATACTTGTCCATTTGAAGATAACATTCACAGCTGCCCTCAATTAGTTTCACATAAAAATAGACATGAAAAATTAAACAAAATATGAAAACAACCATTTTAACAACAATATGTCCTCTCTTCTTAACTCTTTCTACCTTCTCCACACGACGACTTACCATCTAACCACCAATGGTAGAAACCATCATACCTACGCAAATATTAAAAACTCACCCTGGGAACGTAAAAGGGGCCTCATCCTCAAAACAAGAACCATCCATCGAGGTATCGAGAGAAAGCAGACAACGCAAATACTGAAATGGATCTAAAAAAACAAACAAGAAGGAATTATCGTATCTATTAAAACAATTTTTTTAAATGTACTTCGGTACTGCTACTTATTGAGATATTCTATATTAATTATTAAGTTTTCTAAATTCTCACAGACATGTAGCTTGATATAAGATATCTATACCAAAATGATTAATGTTTAATTTTTACGACTATATACATTAGATAATCTGTAAATCATGTGACTTAACTAATTTTAATTTACAAAGAATTACAGAATAATATTTCTAAATCTCGAACTGTGCTTGTTAGTGTTTATTTTTTGCTATAAAATTTTTGTTCTAGGAGTCAATTATTGTATTTATTCGAAAATACTATTCTTCCAATCTATATACATAATGTAATGAAACAGTTAAATGTATTCTTTTTAATATTCAGAAGTAGAAATGTCAAAAACAGTTAAAGTAATCAGATTTAAATGTACCGCCGTTGTAATGAAAGAAAACGGAAACAAATGTCAGTCATGTGATGTAAAATTACAGATTCTCTTTTCGAAATTACTATTCGCCATATTATTTCCTTTTGGGAACATATCTCTAAAATAAAAAGATTATTTTACGTAACATCTATATATCACGAAAATCTTGATTTTAACAATATCGTCACGTCATGCGCTTTGACTTAGTGTGACATCACCAAATTATCAACTGGATTTACATGCGATTGGAGGATTCTTGGCCTTCAGCTTGAATCCCACCAATCGAGAGGCTCGAAATTCTGCACTCCACCTGAAATTTTCTTATCGTCATATGACCCATTCTTGCTGGTGGCAGTCGTGTAAGCCATATTTGTCAGTGGGTTCGCTAGTTCCGTAGTGTGTTGTGCACATTTAACATCGTTCTGGCCTGTAAATACTCCTAATAACTTAAAAAATGGCAGATGACAAACACCCCGTCTATGGACCCTTCTTTGGAGTCATGGGAGCTGCTGCAGCTATCATTTTCAGTTGTAAGTAGAAATTTTGCTGGTCTTTTCGCCGCTAGACTATTGATTTTATGCCATCAGAAGGTCTCTGATTTTTTATAGCGTTAAGTATAACTTTACATCATTGTTTTAAAATCTAAAATTGTTACTATCTTAGTGTTAGGAGCTAAAATAGTTTATATAAAAGTAATCTTTGTTTTTCAAGCAAAATTGAAACCATGGGCGTAGTAGATAAGTCATATGCCAAGATCTGGGAAGTACTTATTTATTTGAACACTAAAAGAGCTACGAAAGGGATTACGTTATTAAATATAGCTATTAGAGGCATATTTCCTCAAAATTATTTTTTATTTAACAGTTTTATACCATATTCTGACCCACTTAAAACAAGTCACATGCCTTGTCAGACCCACCCGACTTGTCTTAAATTTAATTTTGGTATTATTGTGGTATTTCCCAATGCCACATAACTTTAATATTGTTTAAATTCTTACTATTTTTTCAAAAAACGTTAGATCACTATCCCTATATGTCGAGGTCAAGTTAATTAGTTTTTTTATTGACAAGTACTATTATTCATTCAATACTCACATTTTTTCCCCAAATTCAACAGTTTGATTGTCCAAGAGTGCAAAGTATTTAAATGATATGTTTTTACTATACAAATCTAAAATTATTTATTAAGCAATGAATTAGAAGCTTTTATTTTACTCAATTAAAGACCAACACACCATTGAACACCATAATTGTTTGTTAATTTTTTTGCATTTCCAAACAGTTTTTATTAATTATTTCCAATGTTAATCTTCAGTTTGGAAAATTTTATACTATCAGAGATGACAAAGTGAGAGTAAGAGGGTTTTTAAATATTATTAACATAACAAATCAAAACCTTTACAGGTGGGTGTAACAAAAAACATGTGACTGTCAAGGTTACTTTACATGACAAACCTAGAATGGTTCTGTCATTTCTACTACTGGAATTTTTCTACTATAATAAATGCCTCAGTGCTTACAATGATAAATGTAAAAAATGAAACTAAAATTTGCACATAATATTTCAATATACGAAGATAAGACTTAAAACTAAAGTTTTGAGTTTTACAATCATTAGTAAAAATAAAGTTCTGTGTTTTGTTTGAATTTTTCATAGATTCTTTTCTTTAAAACTCCGTTTTTTGTCTTTCATGGTGTTTTACAATATTCTTCATAATTTTTTTAAATCATAGTTATTTAAAGGTACACTTCCATGTTCTTAAACCTAATGTACTAATTCAAACATTTTGAATCTAAAGAGATCACAATATATTATATTACACTGGAACCATGTGATGTTATCAGCTATACAATGTATGATAAATTTCTTATCTAACTATCTGTCATGTGATGGGCATGGCATCACTGATATTGGGAAAAGGGATTTAATTAAAGAAATATTTAAGCTTTTATTTGTATGGTCACGCGATGGGCGTGCATTCTTTCTGTTTTAAAGGGTTCTTTTTATTTAAACAAATACATTATTTGTTCACTTTCACAATTATTTTTTCTTTTTTTGTCGTTTTCGTAAAACTAGTGCATATTTCGAACCACTTATATAAACCTCTGCTTTAATATATTACACTCTCCTTTTTTCACTGTTAAAAGTGTATGTGCGTGTGTGGGGGGACAGAAAGTCCTTAAGCAACAGACTTTTTTTAAACAAATTATCTTAATTTACTAATTAAAGCCTCCGCTTCTTCTTGAAGTATATAGTATTCATTTTAATATAATACATCACCTAACGGCCGCACACAATATGAGTATTAAAATAAATGATGGAAAAACCTAAATGTTGGCATCAGTTCCAATAGGGGTTCCAACAGGATTAGAGCTAGAAAAAACCGAACAAAACTTCAGCATAGACCACTATAATTTTAATGTAGCAAATAATTTGACCTATCTGGGTCCCATGAGAACTAGCGATAATGACACATAGTAAAAAGTATAACAAAAGATGCTGCTAGTGAACAAATTGTATTTTGGGCTAAACAAACACCTAAAAACAGAAATTTGAGCCAAAACAATACACTAACAATATATAGAACACTCATCCTACCAGTGCTGACATATGGGTCAGAAACATGGAACATCTCCAAAACTGACGCAAATTGTCTGCTCATCTTCAAAAGGAAGGTATTAAGAAAAATAATGGGCATACTCTGTGAGAATGGTATTTATAAAAGGCTATATAATTTTGAAGTAGACAAATAACGAAAAAGTAAATGGTACCGATCTACTATCCTTAATAAAAATAGATGGGCTGTACAAGTGTCAAGAGCAAATGAAAATTAACCACTCAGAAGATCCTTATTAGTGTTACCAGTAGGAAATAGGAGTGGAGGTAGAACCAGACCAAGATGGAGGGACTGTGTGGATGAGGATGCGAGGAAGACAAGGCACAGTAAACTGGCAACAGTTGACGATTAACATAAACGCCTAGCTTAATAGACTATGGAAGGTTAAGTCTCAACTAGGTCAGTAGCATCACTGATGTTGACAATCATATAGTTTCTGTGGTTTTTAGTCTAATCATGATAGAAATATAGTATTTTGGTAGATTAGAATTAAGATATAGTCACAGTCACAAGATTTACTGTTATATGAGATTGTTTAGCTCATACTATAGCTTTATATCATATACATTATAATCAGTCCTGATTTTTATAGCAATATATTACACTGCCTTATTGTTTTTGGATTTTATAAGCCATAGTTGAACCTCCCCAAAAACATTTTGCCATTACATCACACTGGTTGTGAAAACTGTGAAATATTGTAGATCTAATAGTTGTTACACAATTCGAAATTTAATCAATTTTAATTTTACGATCATATAAAAGCTTTTTTGGCATATTTTGAATATAGGCATATAATCCTTCTAATATAATGTAGTCATACCTTTTGGTTCTCACATTTTATTGGGCTCTTGCTTTATTCAGGGTATATATAAGATACTCTATGTTGACGAGAATGTTGAAATAGGGGAACTCTTAATGCCTGCAAGTTCAAATCGGGAAAATATATGTTGTGTTGCCAAGAAGATATAAGGCTATAAAAACCTTAGTTAAGTATGACTAAATATTGGTTAACCTTGGATATACAGTGGAACCTCGATTATCCGTCAGGGCACCGGACCAAGGGTATGACGGATAATCGAAAAGACGGTTAACAGAACATTAAAAAAAATTCATAGTATAACTCAAATTTTATTTGTATGTTTAATTTGACAATATAAGAGGGATTTATGTTAGTACAGTCGAACTAATCTGATTTAAATTATTCTGAAATATTTGTTTGTTTTATTGTTACTTCACATTTTACAGCGGCTGAATTTCTTAATCGACGTAAAATCATCAAATTTACCTTATTGCTTCTTCTTGCCGAGAATACCACTTGATAAATTGTTGTATGTGCGATTCAGCTTCTCTAGCTTTACGTAAATCTTTGTGAGTTGCAATAGCATCATCAACATTGCCACCATCAAAGTCTCTGTTAGCTTCTGAATCAGTTTCGTCCGCCTCTGTTGCCATTTCAACGATTTCATCATCTGTCAGCAATCGATAGCTGTTTGCGTCCTTATCACAAATTAACCATTCGTTTATGTCATCTTTAGGCAACGAAAACAAAACAGTTGATTCAGCCATATCTTCATTTAAGGGGAGTATTTTCATCTTAAGTTGATTCAGGCTATAATTTATTCCACGCTCTTTTCAACGGTACTTCCGAAACATCAGCCCAAGCATCCACAGCATTGTCGACTGAGTGTTTTAAATTGTATGCTTTCCAGTATTTTGGCAAAGAATATTCCTCTTTCATAACTAGGTTTTGAATAAATTCTTTTCTGTATCTTCCTTTGAATGTTTCAATGACCGAATGATTCATTGTCTGTATCAATGATGTTGTATTCGCAAGCAGAAAAGAGTACATGATTTTTTATTGTCACTCCGCAGCATACCGGCTTTAGGATGGGCAGGTGCATTGTCCAACATGAGAATCGTCTTTGGTGGAGAATTTTTTGCAAACAAAATGAATTGATGAGTAAATTTTTACTTATGTTGTCAATATACCTTATGTATGGACCCTGACGGTTAACAGAGGTGACGGTTAATAGAGAGACGGATAATCGAGGTTCCACTGTAATAGAATATAGTCTGTGTTATGAATGCTTGATATAATATTTCATAACTGCTATGTTAATTTAACATGTTAACAACTCAAATATGGCTCCTTAGGTCAATTTCTTATTTATTATAGTATTGAAGCGCATATGTTGGGTTACAGAGCCTGGGAAGTTTTGTTGGTTGTGAATCATGTGTTGGTTCATGTGGCACTTAGCATGTTAAAGACAACTACATATTTTGTTTGAGTTACATTTGTGAGTTGCACAAATTTAATACCATAACTCATTTAATATTATCATTTTCAGTGAATTATCAACCAGTATTTCAGTTTTTATATATTGTACTCTTATATCTCTTTTTATTTTTGAATGCTTCAGCCTTCCCTGTAAATGAGTCCTTGTTTACTTTTTCTGATTTTTCCAATTAGAAACCATATCCCATCAAAACTTTTAACATGTTAGCAGAGAAAAATCTTCAAAACTGTTCAAATAGGATTTATTTGTTTGGTATAAATATTTTATTCCATTATAGCATTTATGGCTGTGAGAGATTATTGATATTGGAAAATGTACAAATGGTATTGTAAACGTATTTGTACACAGGTGCTGAAAAAAATAAAGTAAACTTTTTAGCATAAAACAAGTTTAAATAGTTATCTATTTATATGTATAACTAGTTTTTTGGCTCTTAGAAGCATTTGGATCAAATTTAGCTATTAACTTCTAAATACATTTTAAACAATTATCTTTTGGGAAAATCCAATCTCATTAAATAGGTAATATTTATTGGATCAATTATAAGTATCAAAACAAGATTTTTTTTTCAAGAAATATATTTGTAATTTGATTTTAAACTAAATTTTTT